CCCTTAATGCAGAAAAGTAAAGTTGGAAGGTATTTACCATAGAACTTGGCATACTGGGACGCGTCCAATGGTTACGATCAGCATTCTACTCGTTTGTGTTGCCGTGGAAGGGGCCAATAACTGTACAACCTTCTCAGTACATACGTATTTTCAAAGGCACGAAGCGGTGCGCTCGGGTCGAAGGGACTATACTCTGCAAATGGCGGTTATTTCGTTTCTTCCCCGACGTATAGAGAGGGAGAAGGGGGTAACGCCGAATGAGCCGAGGATAGCCGAAAAGAGCCGATGCATTTAGAGGCTTGGTCGCTTGCAACGAGAGGCGCACACTTCAGTCGCTAGAGAGCGCTTTACACGTGTAGAACGCGTTTTCGCGCAACTCCGTGCGTTACTGGGCACACACGCAGCTCGCGAGCGTCAACATAACTGCGCAATCGTGTACGACCTTCCGCCGAACTTGGAACCACGCGCGTGTCTTGACAGTCGTGTATTTGGCGGGAAGCGCGGTGCTGTTTTCGTTTCGATTATATGTGCTAGCGGAGTCGATTCGGTGGCTCCCCACCGTGTCAGCGGACAGCATATTGGTGCTTTCGGGCCGTGTGCAATAACGTTTTCCGCGAAATTTCCATGTGTCGAGCAACGAACTGAAAGTGATATATTTATGTGCTTTGCGTTTCACAGACGTGATAGTCACAAAATCAGAGGACCGATACGTGATCAGTTTTAAATTGAAGCAACAACGTAGTAATCTTCGCGGGAACACGTCGAAACACGCACGCCGTCTCTTGGTGCCTCACGCGCAAGTGCGTGCAACGTTGCCGGTTCTTTCTTCCCGCGGGCACTACCAATGAATTTATGAGAAGAAGACGGAAAATAACTCCGAATCAACTTTATGCTCGATCGTTAACACCAATTTTCGTTATTCCCATTACGGAATTGTGTATCGAACTCTGAGAAACTATGAGATAGTTGTTGCTGTTTTCCTATCTCTTCTCTCACTCCCTCACACCGTGCTACGCATAGTTTACCGTGTTTACCGTGTTGCCAAGCATTCCGGTTTATTGTGCACGCTTCACTCGTCGATGATATACACCGTTCCGAAATCCAACCACCGATTCGCGGATGTGTACTCTAAAAAAATCATCATCGCAAAGTGTACGGTGCATCGGTGAGCGAGTGGACGAACAGCAGAGTGGCGAGGCGACGCTGAGCACGGCCATTATTCGAAATTCGGTGGGTCGCGCCACGGCAACGTTGCCACGTCTTCGCGAGCCGCGAGTATTTCAACGTTCTGTGGACAATTCCTGGAAGAAGAATCATCTCCGTGAACGAGACGCATGTAACGCATTTGAAATCATTTGCGAAAAACGAACGATTTCTAACTTTGTGCTGTGCGCGTGTTGAAATCAATCGAGTCTGTGCAGTGCGCCTGAAACACGTTTCAAAAACTCTGTTATAATATTAGGAGGGAATAAAAAGTATAAGGAAAAACTGTGTGATCGTGAAAGAAGAGAAACGCGTAAGCTGTGTGCGTTTGTAAAAAAAAAAAAAAACTCTTGGTTATATTACTGCGGAGGAGTACGGCGACGTTGCCGGTGACTAGAAAAAACTAACGAAATATGAGCGCACGAGTGTTGAATCCGATGATGATGACGGAAATGAGTAGGAATCTGGGTGGAGGACGAACGGTGCCTAGCAGAGCAGCCCTAGCTCGTGTTCGAAGGGACTTATTCGGGCCTGTTGACCATGCCGCGGCTCGTGCATTGGCGGAACGTGAGCTTCGCGCTCAGTCCATGCTCGATGCTGAACGATGGGGCTTCGACTTTCACTTGGAGATACCGAGAGCTAATTCGAGGTACGAGTGGGAGCTGGTTACGCCGCAGGACGTGGTCCCAGAACCCTATGCCCTGCGAGGTATGCCCTACTTGAGGAAACACGCTCCAAGCACACCACGAAAGGTACGGGATTCATCGCCTACCACGAGATTCCTCCGCAAAGATTCATCCTCTCCGTCCACACCGATTCTTTCGAAATCGGAGAGGACGCCGCCACAGGAGCCACGAGTGCCGCAAATTGGAGAGATCACCGCCAGCGAACTGTTCGACTTTGACCCGGACAAGAAAATGTACATCATCGAACCCACTACCCCCGTTCTATCGACCTCCACAACGAGGAAACAGTCCTCCATAACCGGTAAGCGATAACGCATTTTTCTCCACCGCATAATTGCCATTGTAACGTAAACACGTGCGCTTCTCGCGATACCATTATACATGGAGTGCCGGTTCCGCTCTCCCGTCTTCAATCTCTTGCGCAAAAAACGCTTTTTACTGTTTTCGAAAGCATTCCCCAAGGGGGAATATAACTGTTCTCTAAGAAACGAATCGTTTCTTCTTTCCTTCTGGAACAGTTAGTTTTCCACTTGTTATCTTACTCACTTTCTCTCTTCTTTCGTCTTAACTTTACTCCCCAGTCAAAACAACAGTTCACAGTGTACGCCAGAAATGACACGTTCCATGGGGGACAATAAGAAAGAAAGGAGACGCTTGCAGGATTATTTGTGCGCGTTCGGTGGAAAACACTGTTCTCCTTTTTCTTTTACCGGCAGCGCTAATCTGTCGAAAGTACATTGCGAAAAATTATGTAACAGTTTAAGAACGCGTGATTTCCTGAATTATTCCGTTTGATCGTCGCGCATTATCGAAGTTAATTGGTCGGTATTATTTATATGGGAAGCGTGTGTATACCCTTGGTCAATCTAATTCGCCGACCGGCAAGGTCGTCGCAATTTACGTAATTACGTAAGCACCTGATAAACCGAATGAATTGCACCCGATGCATCGTTGGTATATACATAAGCATTCCTATTTATCGCTGAATTATTTTCACTGATTTCTCACCTTCGGATAGTCGCGGCAGACTTTGTACCGCGTAGTAACGATCGGGGAATAATAAAAATATTCCTGCGAGCCTATGTATGCTGGATAAACTATCGTGCTGTCATAGTTTGAGATAAGGAACGAAATAAAATTCGCCGCAAATATTTTTTCGTCATGGATAAGCATCGCACGATAATTCGCCGCACGCGAGCGTAAACAGGGATGACATAACGATAAATATTATTCGTAATTCGTCTATCGATTATCCAAACAGAGTCGAGGGATGCCATCTGGCTGCACGAGATGTCGCATTCTTAATCGTACAGAGATCTAACTCGTGGGCCCGTAGCTCACGGTCTAGTTCCCCTTTTTTCGCCTATTTATTATTCGGCTGTGCACACCACCCACGCGACGCGACTATTTCTGGACGTGACTCGTCATATGTCTTGCACGCATGCACCTACACGCGCGTAAACACATTTTGCGTCGCAGCAGCACGCGCACTTTTGTTTATACGCCACGTTTGTCTCGCGAACACACCAGTTGTTTATTCAATAAAATAGTCCCCCCTCG